TGGTGGTGGTGGTGGTGGTGGTGGTGGTGGTGGTGGTGGTGGTGGTGGTGGACAACAGGAGACGGAAGTCGCACGCTGACGGCACCAGGACAGCAACACCAGCAAGATCAAAATTTTCGGGAAATTGAAGAGACATATCACACGTCCCAATTTTTACCGCGACTTAACCTTGCAAAAAGGAAGTATGCAGACGTTCGTCAATGAAATACCCAATTAAAGCGCTCTTTTAACGAAGTAAATTATTCGAGAAAGTCGTTTAACTGGCATATTTATAGTTAACGTTTGTTGTAGATGTGCACTGATGAGAAAGACCACTTACAGCTGTGTCAAGCAGGGGCAGAATACTGCTGAAACATGTGTCTGGACTTTGAACTAGTACCTATGTTGCCATTATGACAAAATACAACATAAACTTATACTACTGTCTGCCCGTTAGTAGTATACGTACATTACGTGGTTATCACGCAGTGGCTCATGGAGTTTGGCCCATATGTGTACAAGAAATTTCGGTCTATGCCTATGGATTTAGAATAAACTGATCTACACCGAACATAGAAATTAATTTCAAAGGAAATTAAAAAGCTGGAAGTTTAAAACCGGTAGATCAACCAGAAAGCAAACAGAGAAAGCTCGGGGAGCCCATTAATTAGCCGGGCCCCTCACAGCTGTGTCAAGCAGCGGCAGGATACCGACGAAAAACCCGTGTCTGGGCTTTTAGCTAGCACCTGGTCTGCCACTATGGTGAATAACAACATACACTTACAGCAATTACAAAATACAATTACAACAAACAATTCGGCCCAAATATATACATCAAATTTCCGTCTATGCTTATAGGCTTAGAATAAACAGATCTATACCGAGCATATAAATTAATTTCTAAAGAGATTATAAAGCCGAAATTACCTGTGCTGCCAGTTTGGTAAATTATAACATATTCTAGACAACAGGAGACGAAAATCACACGCTGATGGGACAAGAACAACCAAACCAGCAAGACTGACATTCTCGGGAAAGGGGGAAAAACAATCACACGTTCAATTTTCTACCTCGAGTCATCCTTGTAAAAAGAAAGTATGCAGACATCCGTCAATGAAAAAACCAATAAAAGCGCCTTTTAACGGGGGAAATTATTCGAGAAAGTGCTTTGACTGGCTATTTACTGTGAAGGTTTGTTGCAAACGTTCATTTTTTTCTCGATGACGAGTTTTCATATTTGGGCGAGTCTGCAAATAGGACCTAAACAGCCATCTGTATTAGAAAGAACCTCCAATAACTCACTACTTCGGTTGAGGCTCTTAAAGAGAGATTTTATTTTGACAAACACAGAAAAGAATCTACAGTAGATTGCATATCTGATGAAAGGTTGGGGATTGGTGGAGTGAACATACATTTGAAGTTGTTAATTTAGTTCATTGGGTTGACTTGAGGCGCAAAATCCTGTTTACTAGAATTGAATTCCCTTCAGCTCAGTATACTGGGAGAAAATAGAGGCGGAAATAGGCGAAATCTAGCCTTTGTTGATATCTAAGGAATTTCCTTCGTTATTAAACGCTGCGGAAAAGAACTTCTTGTTTGTGCATGTTGCATTATAAAAGAATATTAATGAAGAGCACGAACTTTTTAATTATATCTGTTCACAAAACGGAAAGTTTTGTTTTGCATCCATTAAATTGAGGTAAGTGTACGTATGAGATACAGCACCATAAAGAAAAGAAAACTGAATTCAGTTAACAAATTTTTGCCTTACAAATCTGTTACGTTTTATGCCCTAAAGATAAGTAATAAACTAACAAGAGACCAAAATTCGTTTTAGTACGCCGATATTACTAGGCCTATTTGACTGTACGTGAGAGGCACGGAAAAGCATTAGTTTTCTTAGTAACATCTTTAATTAACTCCATTCAATATGTTGTCAAAATATAGAAGAAAATCAATAAATATGAAAACTTGGAACGGAAGAGGGAAAAGATTATCATATTTACAAATATCGAAGGAGATATTCGGTCACTCTGTTGTGCATTTGAAATCAAATAACAGTGCTCTGAAGTAAAAGAACGTATTGGAAACTGCTCTAGTTTGCATGGAAATGCAAGTTCTTTCATTTCCAGCAGAGCATTTATCTCTAATATTTAGGGAAGTAAAAAACTGGTAAAAATATCCCATTTTGATCTTGACTTCATCTTCAAAAAAGGTATAGTAGACAGATATTCCACTACAAGCGAACATCCGTGTCCCAGGAAGCAATTGAGAAGAAGATATTGCAGATATTCAGATATTCCACTTCGAAATATCTAACTAAAGCTCTTTTTGAAGGGGTAACTTGTTGTATAAAGTTTTTTAATTAATCTTAGACGTATTCATTCTCGGTTTTTGTTGTGGAAATTCAATTTTATCGGCAATGAGTTGACAGGTTTGGGTGATTCTACAGCCATGACCCAGACAGGCAGCTACATAAGGAGGAATGTTTAAGAACTCCTTACTTAGGTAAATGCTTTTAAGATATT